TTTGAACGATTTAAGCTCAAATCCAGTGGATTTCGGTGTTTTTAAAAGCCAAAAGACCTCAACGGTTGAACGAGCGGGTGATGAGTACAACAGATTCTAAAGGTTGAACCAGTGGATGAATAGGGCTACGCATTATGGACATGCTACAGAAGGCGCCGCTCAAAACTAGAAACGAGTCAGCGGTTGCCCGTATTAGTTTCATTACTGGATCTTGCATGTCTCATTCCATATATTTTGAAGTGAGAGGTCATGAAATCAAGTCTATACGTCATAAAATACTAAATATATACTATTAAAAAGGGAGAAGATACAAGCTCTCATCTGACTAGGTGAAAGGCGATAAAAACAACTCGAGAGTTAATAACAAATAAACTTAAGGATTTCTAATTAAGAAATATTGAACCCTGCAAATACAACGGTGTATGTGTGATTTAAAATAAATTTAGCATAAGGAAATTGGATATAGAATGGCTTGCACAAGGGTTGATTTCCCACAACACACCAAACTGCTGCAAAACTAAAACATTAACTTGAGCATTCGAGTTTTGTTCTTAAACAGTTTCGTCTGCTCGGGATATTCATATGGTTGACATAAGGTTGACATACCCAATCTGTTCAGAAATGTGCAACCTATCAGCTGCTTTTAACTTGTCCTTTAATAGAACTGGTTTCTCAGAGCAATGATTAAAAATGGCTTCAAGCGAATGATCGTGGTTTTTAGAGAGGAACATCCTTCTTCGAAGCCCAGTGACTGGCGCTACACAAACTGCAAAGAACTGTACCAAATAACAGAAAGTACATCAATTGTAGACTTTCAGCAGCAACAACAAATCAAATGCCTATACACACACACACACACACACACACACACACACACACATATGTATGTATATATATATATATATATATATATATGTATGTATGTATATTCAGTCCGAGTTGAGTGCTGGAAACTTCCTTTCTCCAAAAGGCAGTACCCGCTCCTGTTTATAGCTGGGAGAGTATATATATATATATATATATATATATATATATATATATATATATGTGTGTGTGTGTGTGTGTGTGTTGAAAAAAAATGTCATATCCATTTATGCTATAGTAATTTACCCACGCACGCATGGACTCTCCCAGCTATAAATAGGAGCAGGTACTACCTTTTGGAGAGGGAAGTTTCCAGCAGTCAACTCTGACAGTCAGACCGAACATTCTTGCTGTAACACTCTCGTTTTTATATGTTAGTATTACTGTTTCTGTTAATATATTTGTTTAACTCAATTGCTTTCTTTGTGTCTTTATTTCTGGTCCTAACGAGGCCACAACAAGCAGCAACACATAAAATGAATACCACATGTAACTTGTAGAGAGAAGAATGACTTGATCAAGTTGTTGACGTTCTACACAACTTAGAATGAAAGCTTAGGTAACATACCTCCATCAATTTTGGAAAGAGTCATAACTGTCATTTGAATTGTGAAACCTATTTTGCTGAAAAAAATTTTTTATGAGAAATATTTTATTAAAATTTAACTGAAAGTAACACTGCCTGCTCGGTCAATGGATGTAAGTAAACGGTTAATATCAGTAGTGTGTAAATTACTCTCGAGTAGTTTGTAACACGTTTATTTAGCATCTCTCAGTTGCGTCTCTTACTTTGGGCAAAGTGCCTCAGAGGCGGCTACGTGAAAGAACAGATTCGCAACTGAGGAAAATTATACTGAGAGGTGCTGGGAAACAGTCGCCCGAGGCCGCGCCCTCTCAATGCACCAGAAAAAGGGATCGGTTCTCGGGGGAATTTTTGTTCTTAGCCCGGGTGTACGCGCTCGGGCTCCCCACATTAAACTAAATTTGAGTTACAACCTTACCTCGGGGGTTGGGGTGAGTAAATACACATGTTAGTATTAACTTTTTATTTTTCTGATAAAATGCCATCATTCAATTATATGCTATTTATGATACACGCTTAAGCGATCATGAATCCTTCGATGACTGACGAGGCACGTTTTTCCCCCGCAGTGGGTTGCCATTTCTTTTTGCAGTAGACGAATTGGCATCCATGGCTATAGAACCAGGTCTGTCCTGCTATTTACTCATAGCTGGGGCGAGAAGAAGAGGATTCATACCTTTCCCAAGGGTATTAGCACGCAAGTGAATGTAATGGATTCGATTGGAATTCGAACTCGGCTCTCCGATACTTCAGTACAAGCTGCTATCCATTACTCCACCGTATTGGTAAGAAGATTATGTTACACCAGTCATTTTGTTCATATTGGTTGCCTGCCTTAAAAATCAACGTCTGAATCCCTGGATATTTTCTGACCAATCACTTCAGCCGTTATTCTAAAATTTTATTCAGTATAGTTCTGGAAAACGCACTCATACGCAGACACACAATTTCGTCAGAGTTGTCTATATCTAGACACGTTACATATATTCTATTAGCCCCCCCACCCCGAGGTATTTTCTGTTGGAATATGTCCACAATCAGCTTTCGAACCATAGGATGAGAAGATAACAAATGTAATGTTAATACTGTGTCTTACTGCGTGAGAAATGTATCTATTTTAAGATGACTGGCGATGGAACACACAGACATGAACAAGCACGAACATAAAATTGTACATAAAAAAAATATCGGTGTGCATGTTCAGAGTTAGTTGTCTACATCCGCTCAGCCGCACGTATTTAAAAACCCAAGTCAAATAAATCTATTGAATGAATCACGCACGCGCAGGTTCAGACATCGACACATGCACAGATGCACGTGTACGATGTCACCTTCTTCTGCACTCTCATATAGACAGACGGACATATCGAGAAAGAAATAATGCGGTTTGGGAAGTGACGTCAGAGGGTAGTGAAAAAGCAGTAGAGGATAGATAGAGATGAAAAGAAAGAAAAAGTTTGGAACATCGAATTTAAAAGAGGAAGAAGAAAAGACAGGAAGATGCTCTTTGCGTAAGGAAAACTATTAGGTTGGTGCAAAATAATGACGTAATAATGTCGTTTTTGACGTTAAAAATACGTCCAAAAACGACATTATTACGTCATTATTTTTTGCACCAACCTAATAAAATTAAACAGGTAGAAGAGGAAGGAAGATGATCATCGAACATAGACACGTGCATGCAATAACTAACCAGTTCTTTTACACACACACACACACACACACACACACACACATATATATATATATATATATATTGAGGCACGGTAATAGATAGCGGCTTAGATTGAGGAATCGGAGATTCCTCAATCCAAGCCGCTATCCATTACTGTGCTATCCATTACATTCACTTACGTGCTAATACCCTTGGGAAAGGTGTGAATCCTCTTCTTCTCCCTCCAGCTATGGGTAAAATAGCAGGACAGACTTGGTTCTATAGCCTTGGATGGCAACTGGTCTATGAGAAGGACAACTCTGAATTCAAAACTTGAGGGGGGTTGTTTGGGGACCTTGTGGCACGTAGTGCACCAGGTTTCTGTATGCAGCCCTTCAAATAGTGTAGATGGTCCTCCTGCACGAAACCTTCACCACTATAATCAAATCTCATGTGTTATTGTCGGTTTCCTTGGAACTGATCTGCTTCGACCCTCATACGTCGAATTCGACGACTCGAGTATATATATATATATATATATATATATATATATATATATATGTGTGTGTGTGTGTGAACATTAAGCCACACATGAATCCCTAGAGATATTCTCAAGACGGAGTCGAGGGTTCATAAATCGCTGTAGGGGCTTGTACGAATTGTCGGATTCAATGAGTGTCTGCATCTGCGTTTGTGCATGAGGGAAGAAAATGGAACAAAAACAATGGCTTAAGAGAAAAAGCAAGAAAGAAAGGTTGCAACGAAAAGAGAAAAGAAAGAGACATTGAGAAAAGAATCTCTTGAAAAAGGATATGGTAATGCCAATGTTAATATTCGCCGTTTCCTTATAAGGAAATATTTGGCATTCGTTGATCGGGCAACTAGTACTGTTGTCGGTTGAAATTTAAAAAAAATCTTTCTCTTAAAACATTTTTTCAAGAAAATAATTTTCTCGTGTCCAGTAACTGTTATCGCTCTTTCCAGTATTGATGGGTGTGTGGGATGTGAACATCTTGATCAAATTATCATTTTCACTTCGCGTTATATTTGATAACAGTTTTAGCCGTTGCTGCTGGTGAAAAACATCAAGAGATATTGCTTCTATTATTCGGTACTTTTCTTTCTGATTCTGTAGTATCTGTCCACAATATTCGATGTAGGAGGATTTTCGCCAAGGACCACAGTCTTTACTCGCTCAAATTCATTTTTAATCATTGATCTAACAAGTTAGATATTTGTGAACGGGTTTGGCACCATGCATGGCATCCATATTGAAGGCTTCATCTGACCTGGCTATTTAAGAAAATGACTCGATTTTCAGGTTAATGTTTTGGTTTTGTGGCAAATTACAGCGTTAGGCAAAACTACTTCTAGCGTAGCTTATTCTATGTTCAGTTTCCGTTTCTCCCATACTGAGATTTTTGTAACTCTTTATATCTTATACACAATTTGCAGCTGACAGATTCATCTATCGCCCGGTTCACACACCTCCAAGTCGTTCGAACAGGATATCTTCCGGCCACTTTACATCCAAATACCGCTTCCCGTACCTTGGAAATGCCAGGTATTGTTGTATTGGATGTACGAGTAAGGTAATGGATAATGGGTCGGAATTTTTGATCGGAGAGCTGAGTTTCAATTTCAGTCGGGTTTGTTATACATATTTATGCGTATATACTCTTGAGAAGGTTATGAAGCCACGTTTTCTCCTTAGCTATTAGTATGAGGTCCATCAAAAACGTGTGAATTTCTTTTCATTTCTCATTTTAGCTTTTGGAAGTAAAGTCTGATGATCCAGAACCCTGTTAAAGGGGTTATGGTGAAATAGCTTATTACATGGAATCTTAACGTGGTCTGTCTTTTTATTCAAACATATCTGCTCTGAATTTTACATTGAGCTCTCTGGATATCATCCTCCTCAGGATTACCTAAGTTTGCATAAACTATATATATATATATATATATATATATATATAGAGAGAGAGAGAGAGAGATATATGTATATATATATATATATATATATATATATATATATATATATATATATATATATATATATATATATATAGCATATATATATATATATATATATATATATATATATATATATATATATATATATATATATATATATATATATATATATATATATATATATATATATATATATATATATATATATATATATATATATATATATATATATATATATATATATATATATATATATATATATATATATATATATATATATATATATATATATATATATATATATATATATATATATATATATATATATATATATATATATATATATATATATATATATATATATATATATATATATGAAATCACTTAAATACATTTTGTAAATGTCACCGAAATGGCTGAGAGCGTATATTTTATTGTAGGTTTCAAGTTTTCGAATAAAATACTATACATTGGAAACGACATTGTGGATAAACTCCACAAAGTTCATGATGTGTTTTGTTTTTGAAAGCACCTGCCTTAAATACAGTATCTTTCACCACCAGACATGGTATTTTAAATGCTTATAAAATATCTAATATGCCCATAATTATTAGACATATTTCCGGTACAGTCGAACTCTGTAAAAACGTTTTGCACATGGCATCACTTATACGACAAGCCGATATTCGAAATTCGTATCACTACATCATTATTAGCTCCAAAAAATTGTTACAATCTATAAATATTTTACGACTTTAAATAATCTGCAGCGGGTTGATAAACCGTCGAAAACGAATTAAATGAAACAGAAGCGAGAATTTATCTCTTCGTTCTTGTATTGGGATGGGCTTCCAGTTCCTTCTAAAGTCTACATCCACTTTAAAGTTCTGACGTCTCCGCCTAACCTCTAAATTCAGCCTTTATTTGTTGTTGTTATTTCTCATCAAGAGTAGATAAGTTTGCCTATGGACCGATTTACACTCCTCCCTGTTTTTTTGGGACAGGAATGGAGGGTCATCCCTTGATTCATATTTAAGATTGGGTTTCTAGTTTTTTCCTAAAGTTATGTCATACTCTTTCACTCCCAATAGCCCCTGAGATTTAGTGGCATTATCGTCTCGGTTGGGATGAATTGATTAAAAATTAAATTGCTCTATACACCAATATGTTAGACGTTTTTACTATTTACGAAATCCACCTCGGAAAGGAAGACAAAATGGAATGAAAACGTAGAATATTAAAGAAAAAAGAAAGTCAAGTGCTTTTAAAAATTAAGGACCGAACCACCGAAAGATGATTATAAAATAAGAAATGTAGGAAGGAGAGATGAGTAGAGGAGAATAGAGAATAAATGTGGTGGTTCCTGTGTAAAAAAGAAAAGAAAACACAGAGAATGAAATAAAAGAGAAAATTCTTAAACAATGGTTAGTTGTTTTACAACATAACCTTATTGGGTCAATTAATATCGAATTTAATAAGAGGCGCACAGTGAGGTTAGAACTCACTGCAGAATACTAATGGCCAGCAAGTCAGGTTATGATATCATATAATTGTGCCATGCGTGATACATGACGAGGCAGATTTTTTTCCCGCAGTAGGTTGCCATTCCTTTCTGCGTTAGACCAGTTGCCGTCCAAGGATATAGAACCCGATCTGTCATGGTATTTACCCATAGCTGGGGGAGAAGAGGATTCATACGTTTCCCAAGGGTATTAGAATGTAAGTGAATATAATGGATTCGACTGGAATTCGAACTCGGCTCTCCGATTCCTGAATCCGAGCCGCTATCCATTACACCCCTGGGCCAAACAAGGCTAGCTTTTATAACTATTACGGCATGCAGAGACACCGAATTAGTTAGGTTTGCTGATTTAACAGCATATCAAACTTTTTTTTTTTAATTTAAAATCGAATTTAACTAGTGCTCCCAATGAGGATCGACGTCACTACTCAATAGTAATGCACGATCAGATTAGGCTTAGAAAACATTTCTCCATGTTGACGCGCCTATTTAGTTTATTGCTTGATTTTACGACTTGTCAACTGTTGCTGTGTTATTTATTGTCTAATTTTGCAGGGTGGGGAGGGTAGACAGCGTAGATCAAACTCTTTACTGGTAATGGCCAACCAGATTAGGGCCGTTATTCATTGCCACATGCCAAAACGCCTATTTGATTTTACAACACTTGTTGGGTAAATTCATATAGACGTTTGTTTTGTGCACACGGTGAGTAATGAATATAGCGCTTGGTAGTAATGTTGAAACATCCGATTATAATTGTGCTTGTCCTCACTTCGTTGGTTCGCTCGACTAATGTTCTTATTGATGGAACACTATATAAATTGGGTGGATATAAACATTGGTTATAATTATATATATTCCTCGCCCTACATAATAAACTAGCAGTAGAGCCCGGCGTTGCCCGGGGATGTAACAGTAAGACATAGATCAAGTATCGACCATCATAAAGACTGAAAAATAAAATTGACAAAGATTATTGTTTAAGGTTGACAGACACGCATGTCTTAATTAGTATTTTTTTTTGTTTTTTTTTATGAATTGGTCAAACCCAAATTCAAACAAAACATTGTTTTCAATCGTTATAAGTCTATTGATTGAATAGAATTTTATTATGAACAACTGTCTTGTAAATGGAATTTTTAAAGCATTCTGAATGTAAAAATAAAGAAAAAAGTGTGCAAGACAATAAGAAACACTACCTGCCAAAAAAAGTGTAGGAAATCTGATCCCATATATAAATGAACACACACACACAAACAACCTGGCTTTATAAGTATAACGATATGAGTTGTCCCCCTTTCATTCTTGTGACAGTGATGCCTCTTAATTGTGTTTTCAAATTGATTTCGTGCAAAAACAATTGTTTTTCCAATTTTTGGCACTGTCAGAACCACCACAAGGTAATTTTACATAGTCCTGTGAAGTTTTGTTGAAATCGGTTGAAAAATGTCGGAAATCCGATCCAATATATAAACGTACAGACACACACACACACACACAACCTGGGTTTTATAATAAGTATGATTTATAATAATTATTATTATAAATAATTTCATTTTTAAGAATATTACGTGAGTCTGATGAAATCATTTAAGAGGCCGAAACGCATTGCATAGAATGTTTTCTGCTTTGTCATTCAATTACCTCAGCATGATTAGCATCTATTTTTAGCGCCCCCACGTCGCTACCGAATGTGACACAAGGTCAAGGTTTCAAGTGGTTTTAACAGCAATACCATGAAAAAATTGCCCAACCCCTCTGTACTTCCACTAATGAATATAGCTCTCGGTAGTAATGTTCAAGCATCCGGTTATAATTGTGCTTGTCCTCACTTTGGTGGTTCGCTCGACCGTTACGTCCTGCCAATACCTTACACATAATGGACTAGTCCGTTCTGACCGCGTGGAAAATGGGGAAAAGACATAACTTGATTTCAGTGAGAAATTGAAATAAAGAAAGGAAAAGGTTAGGAAGAAGTGGAGAGAGAGAGCGAGAATCAGATTAAGCTGATGAGAACAGATACTACACTTTGATATCAGTCAAAAATCCGAGAAGCGTTTATTTTTGGCGCGCCCACATCGCTACCGAATGTGACACAAGGTCGAGGTTTAAAGTGGGTTTAACAAAATTACCATGTAAAAATTGCCCAAGCCCATCGGTACTTTCAATTTAGGGACGCCTCAGGAGCCACGAAATAAACCCAGGGCCTTCCCGAAGGAAAGGTACTGCCTGGTGGGAGAGGGGTCTCCCCCCAGTTGGCCTTCGATTTAATATTTAAAATATGTATATATGTAAATTGTTTCAATGCTTACATATATGTAAGCATATTTAGGAGGATATATATATTTTTTTATGCCATGTTAGGTAATGAATAACAAAGTGGAAGTCATTCTATGTAACGCGTCTTGTCTTATTAAATGACTTAATTAGACTAATGTTCATTGGATTAATCTTCATATTGATGGGACACTATATAAACAGGGGGATATAAATTTGGTTACAATTATATATATATATATATATATATATATATATTTCCCTTTTTCTTTTCTCCCTACTCCCCTCCCATTTCTATATATCCTTTCCGTTAAGTTAACCATCTAAATAGGTCAAGGTCTGGTCACTCCTCCTACCCCAATATAAAGTACATTTGAGAGAGATATGAAATTAACCCCTCCCTATACTCTACCATGTCTCTTTAACTATCCCTCTCACACCCCCTGTTAAATTACAAAAACTTACACTACACATCAATTTTAATCTCATTTTTCGTTTCATTTCGTTGTTAGAAGTGCTATCTGATGATCCGGCGTCTTTTTAAAAAGACTCTGGTGAAATAAATTATTGTATTGGTAACTTAAAGTGGTCTGTTTTTCTTTTAAATATATATATATATATATATAAAAGACATTTTTATGTTTAACATTCTTTTTATGGATACAAGTATTTAAGTAAATGCCCTGTTTATAATAAACAGTATTAAATAACATTTACCGGCCTGAATGTCCGAGAAATGTTCATAGAAAATATTCGTCCTTTGACAGGATTCGAACCTGCATCCTATACGGAACCGTCATTTACGCTGAAGTGCCTTAACCGACTCGGTTTTATATATATATATAGCACCTCAGCATGATTAGCATGTATTTTTCAACGCGCCAACATCGCTACCGAATGTGACTCAAGTTCGATGCTTAAAGTCGGTTTAACGGCAATCCCATGATAAAATGGACCAAACCCCTCGGCACTTCTACTTAGGGGGATGCCTCAGGAACCGGAAAATAAACCCAGAACTTTCCCGAAGCAAAAGTACTGCCGGTGTGTGTGGGGGGGTGGGGGTTGGTTTGCCTTGTGCTTTGACTTAAAACTAAGGCCGGAAATCGAAGGCCACCGCGATGACATCGGTATTTTTCTAACGCACTGTATCGAACGACGGAAACTGAGTAAACAATTCAGTTACCGTAAATAAAATAAAATTGTCTCCTGAATTATTTTAAAATTATTATTAAGAGAAATTTTCATGAGACGGTAATTTGGTCAGTTACTGCGTAATTCCTGTATTAACCCCTGAAAAAAAAATTCCTTAATTTTCATTGTATTTTATATTAAACTCATTCAGTACAATTACATTATAAGCTATAACAATTTATTAAGCTGGCAAATGTTTTCAGACGAAAATTACTTTTAAATGAACAATGCTGACACTTTTTCAGGCTATTACAACGAGACCCAGTGAAATTGTTTTTACTAGAATAATTTGCAATAACTTATTTCAGTGGTGTCAGATTTTATTATTGTTCAACGCATTGTAAATTAATGTATATCATCAAATATTAATTGATATTTATTTTTTTATATTTCAAATATATAAAGTTTGCCATGTCTCGTAAGAAATATATTACCTTAAAAGAGAAATAATTTATTGTAAGTTAACGGTCGGCAGGAAGATTGCGAAAAACTTAAAGAGAAATTAATGAGGAAAAGAGAAATTTCAAGCATTGGTCTGATAAGAGCAAGGTAAGTTAGAAAGAGTGTCCTGAAACAAATTAAAACGATAATAAACAATAAAAAAACTGGATTGAACAGTAAAAGACTAACTGAAGTATTTAATTTGCAACTCGAAGTAGAGAAAGGATTCAGAGTATTAGGAATAAAGTAAGAAAACATTATTCGGACTATTGACCTCATCTTTGTCGCCATATTTATCACAACGTTCGGCCTTCTTCAGGTGGTTGGAATGCTGAACTGAACCCTTTATTTCGCTAACTGGGTTAGACTGTTCTAGTTCCAGGTGCCATGTTTGATGGATGTCAGTTATCAGTTACCTCCTGTGAATTTTCCCTCTGAAATTTCTCCACTGCCTTAACCGGGTATTGAACTCCCACTCTTTGGGTCCTGTCACTGGATCTAATTAACACCTTTATCCACTGTGCCATGTGTCCTTGACATTGCAATTTTGCTGTTATCATTTCATGTTTTTACCAGAGCTCATATTGCAACTTTGTTATCATTGCTTTTCTCTGGCACCCCTTATTACTGGTTCCCATATTGTATTTATTTCTATACTTGGTTGGCTCAAAAGATTTTTGTAGCCCAGCATATGTGAGGATTCATTAAGTTTACGAATTTTCCAATGGGGTTCCATGTCTATGATCTCAACTTGATCCCACAGAGGGTGGTGATCTCCCTTCTCTCTCCATATGTGGTCAGCCACGCCTGATTTTTCTACTTCCCCTCGTGTTATAGATTCCTGGTGTTCTTGAAGCCTTACCTTGAGGGGGCGGCCCATCTCTCCTTTATATCCCTTTCCGCAGCTGCACGAAAAAAAGAAAGAAAAACCACCAAATTATCAGCTTGAAATGAATATTCCAAAGAGAAACGTGCAAGTTGCGCGAAGAGCAATTCTGTTATGGTTCGGTTCCTTGTACCACGGTGATAGTACAAGGTAGAACCAATAAAGAAGAACTCGAACACAGGTATGGAATAACACAGATATATTACAAACAGGAATATATACAGAGAAGTAGAACGTGTTAGTACGAATAATCAGGTTTAGTAGAGAGAACAATGTAGTCTCGACCAGTATCACTATTCCAATGTCTTGTAGTAATTGTCTGAACGCGACTCTGTTTCGGACTGCCTCTGACTCGATTCTTGACTCGACTTGAACTACTAACTCGAGTTGAACTACTGACGAAAGGCTCTGTGCCACATGACACGAGGGGTGTCATGTGGCACAAGGCCTTTCTAACGTGGGATCTCCGGAGCCCGTGGGCTCGGCCAAAAATATGCCCATTGAACCCGTATAAACGGATTCAGGGTCGGTTTACCTGCCCGAAAGAGAATCCACCATTCGGCGTAGCCTCTTTCGTTATCTTCCCACAGGTCTTCTTCAGAGACTTACATCAAGTGCTTTAACGAGTTGGGTAGACTTGAGTTTCTTAACTCAAGGTAGCTGGTGGAACGAAGTCTGGCAACAGGACTCTGAAAAATGTCACGGAGCGCACTTGAGCGAGAGACCAGCAAAACTCCTTGTAACACCAAGTATCAACTGACGGCAAGGACTATAGCAGCATTCACCAACTTAAACAAGGACACCGTCCAGAAAAGGATGCAGGAAATCCCGAAGTTGTCAGGAGGCCGTGGTTAAAGTCAATGGCTATTTTATTGAATAAATTTACTCTTTAGTATTTCAACATATTTTTGTGCAATTTTTTTAGGTTTTATTGTTCTTTTTGCGTAATTTTGACGATAATTTAACCATCACACTCTGTAGTTGCTGAATAAACAACATGTCAGGTGTTTGTAATGTTGAACAAATGGAAATGTGCCTGAGACGGCTTCTGAAACAAACATTAATCGGGCATAATCGGAAACAGGTTGCCAGCCATTATACTCATGCAAGAAAATGCTCTTTCATATTAACTTCATCCGACCTTTCCCACTAGACCCCACCAGCTCCAACAAAAAAATTTCAAAGATACCAGATGAAATGCCAACCAGCATCTCCAGACATCAATCAGAACAGATGAGAAGAGAAAATAATATTATAACAATAAAACTTCTGTAACTAGTGAAAGTTTCAATAAAAGTTAGATAGATAGATAGATAGATAGATAGATAGATAGATAGATAGATAGATAGATAGATATGAAAAAGATTAGATAGATAGATAGATAGATAGATAGATAGATAGATATGATGAATTGACTGAGATAGAAAGATATGAACAGGCTTAGATAGATAGATAGATAGATAGATAGATAGATAGATAGATATGATGAATTGACTGAAAGATATGAACAGGCTTAGATAGATAGATAGATAGATAGATAGATAGATAGAGAGATAGATAGATAGATAGATATGAAAAAGATTAGATAGATAGATAGATAGATAGATATGATGAATTGACTGAGATAGAAAGATATGAACAGGCTTAGATAGATAGATAGATAGATAGATAGATAGATAGATAGATAGATAGATAGATAGATATGATGAATTGACTGAAAGATATGAACAGGCTTAGATAGATGAATAGATAGATAGATAGATAGATAGATAGATAGATAGATAGATAGATAGATATGAAAAGATTAGATAGATAGATAGATAGATAGATAGATAGATAGATAGATATGGTGAATTGACTGAGATAGAAAGATATGAACAGGCTTAGATAGATAGATAGATAGATAGATAGATAGATAGATAGATTGATAGATAGATAGATAGATATGATGAATTGACTGAAAGATATGAACAGGCTTAGATAGATAGATAGATAGATAGATAGATAGATAGATAGATAGATAGATATGAAAAAGATTAGATAGATAGATAGATAGATAGATAGATAAATAGATATGATGAATTGACTGAGATAGAAAGATATGAACAGGCTTAGATAGATAGATAGATAGATATGATGAATTGACTGAAAGATATGAACAGGCTTAGATAGATAGATAGATAGATAGATAGATAGATAGATAGATAGATAGATAGATAGATAGATAGATAGATATAAACAGACAGATAGATTGATAGATAGATATGAAAAAGCTCAGATAGATAGATTGATAGATAGACAGATATAAACAGACAGATAGATTGATAGATAGAGATATAAAATGCTTAGATAGATAGATAGATAGATAGATAGATAGATAGATAGTTAGATATGTATGAAAAAGATTAGATAGATAGATAGATAGATAGATAGATAGATAGATAGATAGATAGATAGATAGATAGATAGATAGATAGATATGATGAAATGACTGAGATAGAAAGATATGAACAGGCTTAGATAGATAGATAGATAGATAGATAGATAGATAGATAGATATGATGAATTGACTGAAAGATATGAACAGGCTTAGATAGATAGATAGATAGATAGATAGATAGATAGATAGATAGATAGATATGAAAAAGCTCAGATAGATAGATTGATAGATAGACAGATATAAACAGACAGATAGATTGATAGATAGATATGAAAAAGCTCAGATAGATAGATTGATAGATAGACAGATATAAACAGACAGATAGATTGATAGATAGAGATATAAAATGCTTAGATAGATAGATAGATAGATAGGATGAATAGACTGAGATAGAGAGATATGAACAGGCTTAGATAGATAGATAGATAGATAGATAGATAGATAGATAGATAGATAGATAGATAGATAGATAGATATGAAAAAGCTCAGATAGATAGATTGATTGATAGACAGATATAAACAGACTTAGATAGATAGGTAGATAGATAGATATGAAAAAGCTCAGATAGATAGATTGATAGATAAACAGATATAAACAGTCTTAGATTGATAGATAGATAGATAGATAGATAGATAGATAGATAGATAGATAGATTTCTTATTTACTGCTTATCAAACGCATATATGTTCTTTAAGACCGAAAAAAATAATGTTGAATAGTAAGAATGATTCTAGTGCATTAACATTCGGAAATGACAATGATTTTTTTCATATAGAGTTCCTAATAAATAACTGATAGCGTTGGGAAGGTGAGATGCATTGCTACTTTTCCTAAACCGCTAGCCACGACAGAATCCTTACATCCCAGATAGTTAATAATAGACTTACATTGATATATAAATTTGAACATATATATATATATATATATATATATATATATATATATATATATATATAGATAGATAGATAGATAGATAGATAGATAGATAGATAGATGAACAATCAGAGATAGATCTATAACTAGAAAGTTATGGTAATTCTTGACAGTAAAGAGGAAAATAGCCTCTAGCAAGAATGATAAAATAAAATAAAATGAAAAAATTATTTAATTAAATGAAAAATTCTATAAAGACCACGCGTAATTTTAAAAGTATTGGTTAAGACAAAAAAAATGTTTGGTTTTAAATGTGGAACAGAAATGAAAATTTTGGTAAATTCTCTTTCATTTTGTAATTTTAGCACAATACATAATGATATAATATTATTATTATCCCTGAAATGAAATAGCAAAACTTTATGTCAGGAGTAGGAAACTAGTCTGGATGGTAAAGAAATGTGTTTAAATAAAAGCAGCAAACATCCCAATATAACATTTCATGAGCGACAGAAAAACCTGGGAAAATGATGACGTCATTTACTCTGATCATATAGATTCAATTGACTTCTTCGAGATAGTCAATTTTTCAGAACATAAGCGCTCTCATATGGTGTATATGTTGCTGATAAAATTAATTTTTACCTGAGATAAACTAAGTATATATAGGATTATTAGACTTTGGTGTTAAATTCTCTTATTCTTTTCCTGTGTTCGGCACTATTTCAGGCGTGTCTGCAACATTAGAGCTTTTCCCCTTGGGTAGTCTTAAATGTATCATCTTTGCAACGGGTGCAAATAGTTTGGACGTGCCGACTTTTTTTCTAGGATCTTTGGCAATGGATTGTATATATGAGTTTCATTCAAGATCTGGAGTGAACTTGACACCCAATAGACGTCCATAGCGTGAAACATCATTGAGACGGCAATCGTGGCTCATGAGTGTAGAAAAACCCCAGGGAAAGCTACAAGCTAACTTTTTCTCCATTGAGTTGTTAGAGTTAGGTCAGAGGAGAGATCAACTTGAATGTTCCAATCGTTTAGGTTTTGGTAATGGCGTGCATAAAAAATGTTGTTCGGTAGATCATTAATAAAAAAAAGAACAAAGAAAACGTGTACTTGTAAAATCTACAATAACCATAGCAAGTTGCACATCTTTATTTTTTTCTGGATTTTTTTTTATTTTTATTTTCCATAAATTCATCTTCCTTTCCCTTTCTGCTTCTTTGTTTTTTTTTTCTTTTTTTTTCTTCTCCATGTTTCTTTTTCTCATTTTGCTCTCTTTCATGTTTCCTTTATTTTTCTTTTCTTTTTGTGTCATCTCTTTTCTTTCCTCCTCTTTCTGTTTACCCGTCTTTTCATTGATTTTCCCCTCCGTCCTTTCTTTCTCTTATCGCTTCTTTTTATTCCTCTCAACTGCTATATTTTCTTTCTTTCTTCTGCTTTTTTTTCTTTCCTTTTCACCTCCCGATACTCTTATTTTCAATTTTGTTTTTTTCTTTCATTTATTTTTCTTCGTTTTTCTGATTTAAGTTTCTTACGTATTTCATCATTTTCTTCTTCTTCTTCTTCTTCTTCTTCTTCTTATTATTATTATTATTATTATTATTATTATTATTATTATTCTACAGTTACTACTACTACTACTACTTCAATACCATTCTTACGCCTTCTATTTCAACTTCATTGTTTATTCATTCTTTCTTTACCGTCTGCTATCACGTTCCCATCTCTTCTTGTTAAAGCAACTGTCTTTCGTTATCATTTAAATTTCCTTCCTATTTTCCCTTTTATGTATTTTCTTTCTTTACCCGAAAATTTTACGACCGTTTTGGCTTTCATCCTGGTCATTTTTTTCTTCTTTCTATCTCCCTTCCCCAAACTTTTTCCTACCCTCACTGACAGCTTGCTTCCTTCCTTTCATTATCCATTCCTTTCTTCTCACCCACAAATCACCTATCAATCCTGAACATCTTCCGGTCCTATAGTTCCGGGTTGGAATTGTGGAGTTATTCATTCGAGAAACCCAACACAGTCATTCGAAAAGAACGCCTGAGATAGAAGGCAACACTACAACAATCACAACAAACGTAATAAAAGGAGAGAATATATATCGTTAAATAATAATGCAATGAAGACAGAAAAGTCGATTTTTCAAGAAGAGAATTGTCCGATATTTAAAGTCTTTTTTTTTTGCGTGGCATTGTCTTTATTTTATTTTTACCTTTCTTTGATACCGATTGCTACATTCGTCAGAAAAGTTCAACAATAACAGTTGACACTGTAAGGTAAACAAACGAACAAAAATATTGCGATTAATAATTTTGGAGATTATTTCCTCTGCTTAAGTTCATTCTGCTGATATATCTTTTTTTTAAATATATTTTTCGGCTTTTAAAAATATCCTTTTTTTATTTTTAATTCTTTCTTTCTATGTATAAACGAAATTATCTCTCTTCCTTACTACTTCGCTTTTTTTTTTACTTCTTTTTAATTCGTTCTCTTGATCGCCATCTTTGATTGTTACTGCGTTCAGTTTTCTCCCGCTTCCATCTTGATATCTTATTCGCGTTCTTTTAACGCTTATTCTTTTATCGCAGTTCAGAATGTTTCAAGAGGCATTGATGCCTATTTCTAGAATATCCTTTTTCTAATACTTTTTCTTCTTTTTTTCTTTTCTTTCTGATATTTCAATGTCTTTCTGTTGTTTCCTCCGACATTTTTCATAATTTTTTTATTTTTTTTTTTTTGGATTTTCTCTCTAGAATCTTTTTGTATTTCATAATCCATCATTCATCTCATAATGTTTTTTTTTTTCCTTTTCTATGTTTATTTGTTTTTCTTTTATCCTACTCATTTTTTCTCCTTCTATTTTCTTCGTTTTCTTTCTTTTCCTTTCCTTCATTTCTTCCGCTTTCTCCGATTGCTTTTCTCTTCAAACTTATCGTCTTTCTTTTCATGATTCTTTTTCAATTTCTTCTGATTTTCCTTTTTGGTCAACATCAAGTTCCATGTTTTATTTTATTTCTTCCCTTTGATCTCCTTTTTCATTATCCTTATTATCATCTTTTCTTACGGTTTTTCTTCTTCTCTGTCTTTTTCATTCCCTTCACTTCACCATCCTTCTCCTTCTTTTCCTTCTTTATCACCGTCCTCTCCTCCTTTTCCGTTATTTTACTACTTCTTTTAATTTCTTTATCATTGTTGGCGCCATCATTGCTTTCCCATTCTTCTTCTTCTTCTTCTTCTTCTTCTTCTTCTTCTTCTTCTTCTTCTTCTTCTTCTATTATTATTATTATTATTATTACTAATAATAATATAATTATTATTATTAATAATAATAATGATAATAATAATTACTATTATTATTATTATTAATAATAATAATAATACTCTCCACTTTTCCGTTGTTTTCTTTCTACTTTTTTCTTTTTTCTTTCTTTCTTTCTTTCTTTCTTTCTTTCTTTCTTTCTTTATTAATTTATTTGTTTATTCATTTATTTATTACTTCCTTTATTTCCCACGGATTTCCATTCTTCTTCTTCTTCTTCTTCTTCTTCTTCTTCTTCAAATCTGTCATTGACATCTTGGTTCTCTTCTCATCAAATAGAAAGACTATATAACATTAAAAGATAAGGAACTGAAGACAGCAAAATGAATCACAATTGGAGAAGGTACCTGCATCCATATCTTCGTTGTCTGTAGGGTTAGCTTAGGTCAGTTAATTTAACGATATATCAAAACTTGTTAGCTTATTTAGTCAAAAATACCTCGTACAGGAGATTAATGGGAAGGTTGGTTTAGATATACGTCAAGTTTTAAAATGGAATAAAAAAAGATTACACTAGAGTCAAATATAACCAAATGTCCGATATACACTTGAGTCAAATTGTAAACATTGTTCAAGTTTAAACCCGAGATTGAAAGTATACACTCCAAAGGTGGATACTATTCTTAGCATCATAATTACATTATTATTATTATTATTTTTATTTTCTTTGATTTCTGGCGTTTACACATTTCTTTCCGGGTCCCACCCAGGGACCTAATGTTAGAAATGGTAGCATGCCACTTTCCACTGACAAAAAAAAAAAAAAATCAAAAACAAATTACATAGATAAAGCCCTTCGTAAAGTGTGGGATGTACTTGTCATAACATTTTTTTTTATCTCTTTGAGTCATGGACTTCCAGGAATCCCTTCAATTAGTTTACTGCAATCTTTTCCAACCAGTCCTAGGGCTCCAACTACAACAGGGATTGTTGATGTTCCCATATGCCACATTTTCGAGATTTATATTTCAAGGTCCTTGTATTTTGACAGCTTTTTGAATATCTTCAAAGATACATTGCAGTCAGCAGGGACTGCCATATCAATAAGGAGGCACCGTTTTTGTTTGTGGTCTTTAATAACAATATCTGGGCGGTTGGCTTTGATTGTTCTGTCAGTGTGTATTGTGTAGTCCCTTTATTATTATTATTATTATTATTATTATTTCTTCTTCTTCTTCTTCTTCTTCTTCTTCTTCTTCTTCACTGTTACTACTACTACCATCTCCCTTGTCTTCTTTTTCCATCGTCCTCTTCTCATTCTTTAGACCTCCGTTAGTATCAATTCTTCCTTGATCTACATTTACTTAGTTCTAAGTTTTTCTTCATCTTTTTATTGGCTGTTCCAATTCTTGTCTTCAGCATCGTCACTTTCCTTGATTTCCAATTCTTCTGTGAATCTAAAAAATCTCTTTTAATCTTCCCACTTTCGTATATTTCGTTCATTTCATCATCATCTTTCTTTACTCTTTTCTTTTTTTATATTTTTCTTCTTCTTTGATTCCTGTCGATCGCAATATTCTTCCATCACTAATTATGATCTGTCTTCTTCACTTTAAAGGTATTTCTGTTAATTTTTACCGCTTCTTTTTTCCTTTCTTCCACCACTATTTTTTCTCTCACTTTTACATCTTTCTCGGTTACTTCATATATTTCCTCCACATACCCGTTTTCCCTTGTGCAGCATTTGTTTGTTTTAAACACCACCACATCTTGCGACTTCTTCTATTTCGCCATCTTTCTTACACTCTTTCGATCTCATCACGTCTTTTTTTTTTCCACCACCAGCTTCGCTTCCTCCTTGAGTCTTCCTCTCTTGCGACTGCTTCAAACACCTTTATTTATTTCTTTATTAGTTGCTTCAAATACGCTCTTTCTCAGATTTCCTCAACTGTTCAACGTCAATTTTCCTCGGCACGGTTTTTCGTCTCAAGCTCATCTTCCCACCGTCTTTCCGCGCTTCTAG